AAATTCCAAAGCTCCTGGGTTGTTTTCCAGCTTGGAAAATAAAAGCCAGCCTGGTTTGCAGCCACAAGGACAGACTGGTACTTTAAATAATGAAATCACACCGTGAGCTCATGGAATTTGGCAAAAATCATCTTGTTTTTGATGCCCAGCCATCAAAGCAGGAGTGAACAGCTGAGCTGTGGAAACAGAGCCCAGCTCAGGGCCAGGCTGCTGCTGCCTCTGCTTGTGAGCTACAGGAATGTGGAAGGACAGGATGGAATCGTAATAAATAAATAAATAAATAAATAAAAAAGGTAAAGTTTGACAAGGTTTTTTCCCCTATTTGTTGTGCTCTGCCAGGTTCCTGGTGGCTCAAGGGCTGTTCCCAGCATACATTAACCAACAACACCAAACACAGCCCAGGAGAACAGCAATCCACAGCACCCCACTCCCAGGCTGCTGTCAAATACCAAATATTTGCTCCAGATTATTTGCATTGTGTTCCCTGAGCTGCTGCCACTTCCCAAGATCTGATCTGAGGCTCTGGAACAGCCCCAGCCCTTTCACTGTCACAGCTCAGCCCTGCTGGGAAGAAGGTTCTGGAANGCTCTGGTCAAGCTTTTCTTCCCAATCCCAACATCCTTCCATCCTTCCATGATGTCCTGCATGGACACCTGGCTCTGATCCCTTGGTCTGACTCAGATCTTCCTGGTAAAGCTCCCAGTGGAGTTTTGAGGAGAAATCCCAGGGCAAATCCCATCCCTTCCACCCATGGGTCACCCCAGGCTTGGTCCAGGGCAGTTTTGGGGTTCTCTAATATCAGATCCTGCAGCTCTGGATGCAGAGCATGACCCTGGATGGATTTTGGTGGCTTTGGCTGGGTCTGGGTGCTGCAGCTCTGCATGCAGAGGGTGACCCTGGGTGGATTTTGGTGGCTTTGGCTGGGTCTGGGTGCTGCAGCTCTGGATGCAGAGCATGACCCTGGATGGATTTTGGTGGCTTTGGCTGGGTCTCAGAGATGTTTGGAGAGCCCTGCAGAAGGGTTTTGGATAAGTTTGAGAATCCAGGTTGGTTTTGGGTTTCCCTCACTACCAGATCCTGGAGCTCTGGATGCAGAGGGTGAACCTGGATGGAATTTGGTGGCTTTGGCTGGATCTGGGTCCTGGATCTCTGGATGCAGAGAGGGACGCAAAGGGTGACCCTGGATGGATTTTGGTGGCTTTGGCTGGGTCTGAAGGACATTTGGACAGGGCTGAAGAGGGTTTTGGAGGCTCCAGGCTGGTTTTGGAGTTCCCTCACCACCAGATCCTGGAGCTCTGCATGCAGAGGGTGATGCTGGATGGATTTTGGTGGCTTTGGCTGGGTCTGGGTGCTGCAGCTCTGCATGCAGAGCATGACCCTGGATGGATTTTGGTGGCTTTGGCTGGGTCTGGGTGCTGCAGCTCTGGATGCAGAGCATGACCCTGGATGGATGTTGGTGGCTTTGGCTGGGTGCTGCAGCTCTGCATGCAGAGCATGACCCTGGATGGATTTTGGTGGCTATGGCTGGGTCTGGGTGCTGCAGCTCTGGATGCAGAGCATGACCCTGGATGGATGTTGGTGGCTCTCAGGGATGTTTGGGGCCCTGCAGGGAGCTGGGGTGGTGGAATCTCCAGCAGGCCCTACCAGTGAGCAGCTCGATCCAGGTCTGCACCGTCTCTGCCGTCTCTGTGGCCTTGATGTGCCTGAGGGTCTCATCCAGCAGCACATCCCCAGTGGGAGCGTCCGACTTCAGCAGCACCTGGCAGAATATCAGCAAATTGTAAATGGGTGTCATTNCGGCCCCGCGCCCTGCTCCAAAATGGCCGCCACCGCCTCCACCGCCTCAGCTGCGTGACGGACAGCAGCTCTACCCAATGAGCGCAGAGAAGCGGCCGCAGTGACATCACACCTGACCAATCAGTGCGAGCGGGGGGCGGAGCACTGAGGGGAGGTGGTGCCATCAAAAGGGCGGGGCAACAATGACTGGCATTAACAGCGGCCAATGGAAAGCGAGAAACATAGAGTGGGCGGGAAAACAGGCGGGGCTCCCGCTGTCCCACAGAGCCGCGGGTTCGAGACCGGGGCCGGGAGGGTGCGGGGACACCGGGACACCGAAAAGCCCCAAAAGCGCCCCCGGAATGGAAAAGGGGCCTGAGAGAGGAGGGAGCTCACCCGCACCCATCGGCTGAGACCACCCGCAGCTCATGTCACCCGTGTCACCCTGGGCACATCCCGCCCCTCCCGGACAATGCCAACGGCGGCAGCTGCACCCACTGAAACACAGACACAGCCCGGGCTGCAGAGAAATAATTCAGTTTTAAGTGAACTACAGGAGAATCAAGTGGGGGAGGAAGGAAGGAAAGGGGTTGTGAACAAAAATAATCACAGTTTCACTTGGTTCTTCTCACTAGAAAGAGCAGCTGAGCCACGGGGGCACAGCCTGGGGGGCTTTGGGTGCCCAACACCCCCAAACCATCCCGGGGGGGGGTGGGTGAGCTCCTCATGGGCACCCCAGAGCTGGAGCGGGATGTGGGAGAGGCACCCACGAGTCCCGTCTGTGCCAGGGGTTGGCTTCTTGGAGCAGCTCCTGGGGCACCCCAAACTTTCCTACCTCAAACTCTGCCACCCCAAACTCTGCCACCCCAAACTCTGCCACCCCAACTCTGCCACCCCCGGCTCTGCCCTGGCCCCAGAAGGAAATGCCCAAGGAGTGAAGAGCTGCTGCCACCTCTCCCTGGAGGCACCACGAGGCTCTGCTGGTGGTGCTGGGGGTGGGTTCTCACCTCCCAACCCTACCTGGGAAGGGGAAAAACAAAAAATCCCCAGGTCCCTCCCCAGGCTGAGCCCACCCAGTGCCCACCCTCTCATGGGGAGAGGGGTCCAATTGATGGGACCCATCAAGGGTCTCCTCCACACCATGTGAGGACTTCTTGAAGGCCACCAGCATGGTCCAGATCATCTCTGTGGCCCGGCCTTTGACAGCTTCCCGGTCCAGGTCCTTCTGGGTACAGGGTTCCCCTTGATGGGACCCATCAATGATCTCCCCCACACCATGTATGGTGGGGTTTAGGACTTCTTGAAGGCCACCAGCACAGTCCAGATCATCTCTGTGCCCTGGCCTTTGGCAGCTTCCAGGTCCAGGTCCCTCTGGGGAGACCCTTGGGTGGGACCCCAGGTGGGACCTCAGGATGGGACCCATCAAGGGTCTCCCCTGCCCCATGTGAGGAGTGTTTAGAACTTCTTGAAGGCCACCAGCATGGCCCAGATCATCTCTGTGGCCCTGCCTTTGGCAGCTTCCAGGTCCAAGTCCTTCTGGGGACAGGGTTCCCCTTGATGGGACTCATCAATGATCTCCCCCATCCCATGTGAGGAGGAGTTTAGGACTTTTTGAAGGCCACCAGCATGGCCCAGATCATCTCTGTGCCCCGGCCTTTGGCAGCTTCCAGGTCCAGGTCCCTCTGGGAAGACCCTTGGGTGGAACCCCATGATGGGACCCACCAAGGAGAGCTTTTAGGACTTATTGAAGGCCACCAGCATGGCCCAGATCATCTCTGTGGCCCTGCCTTTGTCACCTTCCAGGTCCAGGTCCTTCTGGGGAGAGAGGTCCCCTTGGTAGGACCCCATGTGGGGTGTGGAGTCCCCTTGATGGGACCCATCCAGGATCTCCCCCACACCATGTATGGTGGGGTTTAGGACTTTTTGAAGGCCACCAGCACGGCCCAGATCATCTCTGTGCCCCGGCCTTTGACAGCTTCCAAGTCCAGGTCCCTCTGGGAAGACCCTTGGGTGGGACCCCAGGTGGGACCTCAGGATGGGACCCATCAAGGGTCTCCCCTGCCCCATGTGAGGAAGAGTTTAGGACTTCTTGAAGGCCACCAGCATGGTCCAGATCATCTCTGTGTTCCTGCCTTTGGCACCTTCCAGGTCCAGGTTCTTCTGGGGAGACCCCAGGGTGGAACCCCACGATGGGACCCACCAAGGAGAGCTTTTAGGACTTATTGAAGGCCACCAGCACGGCCCAGATCATCTCTGTGGCCATGCCTTTGGCACCTTCCAGGTCCAGGTCCATCTGGGGAGAGAGGTCCCCTTGATAGGACCCCATGTGGGGTGTGGAGTCCCCTTGATGGGACCCATCAATGATCCCCCCCACATCATGTGAGGAGTGTTTAGGACTTAGTGAAGGCCACCAACATGGCCCAGATCATCTCTGTGGCCCTGCCTTTGTCACCTTCCAGGTCCTTCTGGGGAGAGAGGTCCCCTTGATAGTGTGGGGTGTGGAGTCCCCTTGATGGGACCCATCAATGATCTCCCCCATCCCATGTGAGGAGGAGTTTAGGACTTACTGAAGGCCACCAGCACGGCCCAGATCATCTCTGTGGCCCTGCCTTTGTCACCTTCCAGATCCTTCTGGAGAGAGAGGTCCCCTTGATGGGACCCCATGTGGGGTGTGGAATCCCCTTGATGGGACCCATCAAGGATCTCCCCCACACCATGTATGGTGGGGTTTAGGACTTTTTGAAGGCCACCAGCATGGCCCAGATCATCTCTGTGCCTTTCCCCTTAGCACCTTCCAAGTCCAGGTTCTTCTGGGGAGACCCCAGGGTGGAACCCCCATGATGGGACCCACCAAGGAGAGCTTTTAGGACTTATTGAAGGCCGCCAGCATGGCCCAGATCATCTCTGTGGCCATGCCTTTGGCACCTTCCAGGTCCTTCTGGGGACAGGGTTCCCCTTGATGGGACCCATCAATGATCTCCCCCACATCATGTGAGGAAGAGTTTAGGACTTAGTGAAGGCCACCAGCATGGCCCAGATCATCTCTGTGCCTTTCCCCTTAGCAACTTCCAAGTCCATGTTCTTCTGGGGAGACCCCAGGGTGGAACCCCACGATGGGACCCACCACGGAGAGCTTTTAGGACTTATTGAAGGCCGCCAGCACGGCCCAGATCATCTCCATGCCCTTGCCCTTGGCAGCCTCCACCTCAGGGTCCATATCCAGCAGGTCCTTGGTCCTGTTCNAGGAAATCGGAGCCGCCGGGTTTCTGGCCCAGGTTGGGATATTTGGCTTTGAGCTTGGCCTCCTCTGCCCGCTCGGGGGAAATGCCCTTGTCCTTCTCCTGACCGTCCTGAAACACAGAAAAAATCAAAAATTAATCATTAAATAACAGTTATGTTATTTATCACATCATTCATTTATAGTTATGAATTAAATTTAAATTTATTTCATGAAATTTTCATTGTTTTCTTATTAATTTATCTGTAGTAATTAAGTTAAAATTTATTTAATAAAATAAATGTCTGTTTAAATATTAATCTATATTAATTTATATTTAATATAATATATAAGTTTATATATTTATTAATACTATATATCAATACATATAATATTAATAAATGTTAATATTAATATAATATTAATATTAATATTAATACCATGTAATATTAATAGCATTGAATATAATACTGTATTAATTATATATTACATTACATTATAAATTATTATATTATATTATATTATATTAATTATATTAATTATATTCTATTACATTATATAAATTATATTATATTATATTATATTATATTATATTATATTATATTATATTATATTATCTATTACATTACATCAATATAATAGCTAAATTTATTTATCTTTATTAATAAAATTTAAGTTTATTAAATAAAATGCACATTATTGCTGACATTATTAACTTATTTAATTAAAATTTATTTATTTAACGAAATGCACATTATTAATTCACATTTATATTCATTTCTTAACTCAAAACTTATTCATTAAAGGAAATTGACATTATTGATTAGACTATTAATTTACATTTATTAATTGCATTAACATTTATTTAATAAATAAAATCAGCGTTAGTTATTACATTACTAAT